AAGCCTCAGCAGGTCATCCTCAACGTTGTAGTGCTTCACATTATTGCCATTCTAGATGTTGGCAGAAGTAGCGGACGCATGAGTGCTAAAAGCATAGGACGCAAGCACATTCCTCAGAAACCGTGAATCACCTCAGCCGAGAGCGGTTGCTCAACCGGTTGGGGCTTCGTGGGGATAAGTCGACGATTTGTTGGGGATAATTTATATGTACTTTACTGCAAAGTCGAACTGCAAGAGGCGTGCAAGCCAGCGAACAAATCTGGGATTATCAATGCACTGAAGACTCTTCGTAGTGTGCATTGAATGCTGCTACTCGGTGTGGGCAGTATAATGACACATATATAAATCGTGCGGCATTTCCTTAACGCCTCACCACACCACACAAAGTTCGTTTTCCCCATATTCAATGCCACTACTCAGTCTCAGTGAAGCCACGAAATCACCCAGCATAATTTTGTGTCCTACAGCCTATTGAGAGAGAACAGCTCACACCGCTACGTCACTGGCACTCGTTGTTAGGGAAAATAGCCCCATTATCGGGCAGCGTTAGCATTGGGGGAGTTATGAGTCGCAGCTTAGCGTGTGTGGTGCGACACCAACCTTCTGTGTCCTGATCACACGCTGAGTTTCTTCAGTGGATCAGTCAAAGGAACAACGATCCGAGCAAGTTTAGTAATGCCACTTTAAAAGTGTGAGACAAGAGTGTACATATTCTCAACTCTCTTTCGGATGAGTTAAGATTGAATAAAGTCCACGCCGTAATTGTTAAAAATTTATCCAGATCTAGTTAAATTCCTGAAGTCGAGACACGGCATCCTGCATATACAGTTTCTCTTCAGACGTCGAAGACTTCCATGACTTCACATGCCACTGGATTACCTCCAAACAGCCCAAGCGTTTGCCATATCTGGCTAGGTGGTCTTGTGTGTTTCAGTTGACTACTAAAACGTTGTCCATGTAGACATCCATCCACATCCACTTGATAAGCTAGCAAATATACTGGAAATCGTTATGCTGTAGTTCAGCTGAGCCATGAACGAGTCCAAAAGGCATACGTATACGCGGAAGGATGCGCATGTGAATGTGGAACGCCGCTATCGTGTTTTCATCAGGAAAAATGGCGATATATTAGGAACCATGTAAGAAGTGGATTGTCGAGAAGGCTCTTTATTCGAGAGGTGTGTAGGGTAATTAGCCAACAAGAGACTCCGATTACCTCTGCTTTAGAGTCCTCATGCTCAAAGGATTAGAGGTAACGCCTACGCCTCGCCTTCCGTCCATTACCGGCACCACCACCCAATAATGCCCCAAAGCGCTGTTCGACTCTTGAACTTTGTCCTTTTCCTACGATTCATCTGCCCGACACACTTTTTCTACATGTTGTGGGGACAATCCATACCGCGAAGCATAGCCTAAGGATGACCTGGGGACCACTTCGAGTACGGCTTGCTGGGCGACCAGCAGGTGACCGTCCTGCTGAATGCTTGTCACCATTTAACACCTTCACGAAATCTTCCTTGATCTTTGCCTATTCCCGCTGTTTTTCGGCTTAAGTCCAATTGCATTCCTCAATGAGGAACCAGGTGCGGAGCCACAAAGACAAAGTGCATGTGCAGAACTGCCTTCTCATACTGCGTTTCTGAGCAACTTGCATAAGTACTCCTCTCCACCTCGCTAAGGTGCCAACTCTACCCGTACGCCAGATATGACAAGCGCTTCTTAGGAAACCAATAATTGCTTCTTTCCCAGGGCTCCCTACCACACTTACAGCAATTGCGCTTAGCTGTGGCCACATGCGCGATTCCAGTTAGGTCGCTTATGATATACATAGGATTATTTCACGATGCGCGGGTCAACACAGAAACCCCTGCTTATGGTTATATGTCCGAATATCGGTATGAAGTAGCCCTTAGCTGCCGCGTACTTGTTAAACCTTGCGGTCTGCCACCTATTGGCAAACCTGACTCCTATGGAGTGCACTAACGAGTAACAAGGAAAATTGTTCTTGTGCACCGTCTCCTCGCACGGCAACCTTAATTTACATCCAGTGTAAATTGCTACCAATTGCTGTTCAGTAAAGTGTGCTTGCATCAGCCCAGAACTTCCCTTGGTGGGCTCCCAGCTACGGCTCGATTTTCCATAGCCCCCTTGACTGCGCTGCAGCCTGCGTGGAGGGCTTGCCGTCCCCCTGCTGCGTGTGCTTTGCCGGCCAAGCAACCTGATTAGCCTGCGCCCAGTTTTCTTGTTCACGTTATTTGGCTTCTTGAATATGGTTGCAATTCCGGGTAATATGATCCACTATCCCTCCTGCAACAGCAGCAACAACACAACAGGTTGCTGCTACTGTAACCACTCCAGCCAGCTAGGAGGCCTGAACCTGCATAGAAGCACAGGTTGCATTTGGTGCTCGTTTAGCGGGTGTAGATCGATTGATTCTAAATCTGGACTTGACTCTTACTTCTCAGCCAAAGACGCAGTATTTGCGTTTATTTGCTCCTGAAAAGCTCACCTGGTTTACCATTTGTGCAAGTTCCACCGGTTGTTTTAAATCGTTGAGTCACTGCCCACCCTGAGATTGGTTGACGCGACACTTCGGGTAGCCACTAAAATATTCACTAGTAAAGAAGCTGTTCGTTTATGTGTTGCTCTGTTCTGGCTTTTGCAAATCAAAGTGTGATTTTAGCAGCACGCGAACGGGTTGTCGGGCTCCCCTGCTTCAGCCTTCTCAGTCATCCTAGGCTTTCTGTTGAGCTTCTGTTGGCTAGAACCCGCCAAGTAAGGGCATGTACTAAGGCTTGAGCTGTAGTGATCCCTGCAGGCAAGAATCCCTCTCTGTAAGCATATGGCCATCATTAAAGACCCTCCCCTACTCACTATGCCAAAAGCGATCGTTTGTGTTCGCCTGGGGGTACAAAGGGAGATGCATATCTAGCCGGTTTATCAATCCTCGAGTACTTGCCCTTCCTAGCGGCCCTAATGCATTTTGCCCGCATATTCACATCGACGCATGAAGAAATTTCCGAGCTGACAAGTGGTGTTGCCGAACTATTGGTGCTACTGCGTTCATATCACCTTGAAGGGCGGCATTTGCCGCCCCAGTAGGCATCGCGCCACGGCCAACCTCCATCGCCAGGCCTGATTCGCAGATTGTCACTAAGAAAAACCAAGGCATCGACCTACCAAATAAAGTGACCGAATTCCCACAAATTTGTGAAAGCCGACATCTCACTGTGTCCACAGCCAGTGTAAGTGTGGCGACAGACATGCGTCGAACCACGGGGTGACGCCACCTGTAACGCGTCGGCTAGGGTTTCCGTAGCAAAAGCACTTGACTCCATATACAAACGTACAAGAATGTCATTCAGTGTTTGCGTAGAGTATCCGCCAGCGCCCCAGAGTTCCTGATTCGAGGGGAAAATGACAACTACGGTGCGAATAGCTGCACCTCCATTAACTCCAAAGGCTCACAGATACTTGCACACTGCATCTAGGGTTGGCGCACACACACTGCACTTTGTTGTATTGAGCTCCCGCTAGTATACAATATATAAGATACGCAAGCAGCCAAACTAAAATCTTCAATCCTTGTAATTCGTAACTAAAAATAATTAGTGTAGTACAAGGTGTCTAAGTGTATCTCAGCCCGCTGAAAGCAGCTTCCGGTACGGCACTCTGAAAGCTTGAGCGTGTGGAAAACTTCAGAGAGCAGAGCGCAAAGAAAAATACTGCGGTCGGCCATGGCGAGTTGGGATTTATTCACGCTAAGGCTCCGCTGCAGATAGGGTGTGATTGCGTTGGGATGCTGCTACCGTATTGCGAATACGAAATCACAATTGATTTGTTCGCTATATAATTCTGTTATACTCTTTGCTCTATCCTGAGCCCAAGGGCTAGCCCGACAGCTGTGCTGTGGGCTTAGAAGTTGCAAGATGCTTGCGCACCAAGCCGCTCAGTTCCTCCTTCATCCGTAGCTGGGGATCCACCTCAAGGGCCTCGGAAGGAACATTCACCTCGGGACGCCAGTTCCGAGGGGCCTGCAGATAAAGAGAACAAACCTAAACCTCGACTGAAGCCGCTAAATCGTACATCCTTGAACTAGAACCCTAAATTTCAAACTTTAGGCGCAAAGGTTTTTTCAGCCTCCAACCCCAACGGACAAGCCGCTCACCATGGGCAACTTGTAATCCTTAACCGCCTTTGGAATATTGTACTGCCCTTTGGGCGCGTTCAAGACCTCGCCACGAACCTCTTTCAGCAATTGCTGTTCCTTTCGGAAAGCAGCTACAAACTCTGGTTTGTCAAAGTACTGCAAGTCCTGGAAGTTAACTGCTAAGCCCTCGTCCACTGCAGTTTGTGCTTTCTGAACAAATACAAATAGTGGGGAAAGCAGACTCATAAATTCCACCAGCGAAGATACAGCAGCTGCTGCTTTCTATTGGCAAAAAGATACAACCGAAGAGAAGCGTACAGCAAGCAAAGGAACTTTAGATGAACGATGACACCTGCCATGAGGCCAGGAAATTACGCAGTAAAGTAAACAAGGTGTCATGGGACAAGCTCTGAGATATGATGTAAAACCCGACGGGAGCAAGAGCAGCAGTACAATCACTGAAACTCGGAACAGCAAAATTCACAAGAAATATACTTGAGCAAGCCAGCAAGGCCCGTTAAACAACTGATAAATCCTAGCAAAAAACGGCTGCGATTTTTCTCCTTCGCTTCACCCGGCTCGGTGTACATAAAAAGCGCTGGACAAGCCAAAATGATGACAGGTAAGCTGGTGATACAGGCTTGCCCACCCAGATTGCTATTACCCAGATCCGTGAAACACTTACTCTTGCCAAATCAGGGTCATGCTCTGCAATCGCGTGGACATCAGACTGTGTAAGGACCGCTCGGTACTGGGTGACATGACCCATTTCCAACAACTTAGACACTGCCATCACTCCTGAAATCAAAGAACAAAATTTAGTTGGCGAAAGCCACAAGTATGCACCACAAAGCAGATGGGAATGTGCAGACACAAACCATCTAATTAGCACGAAAATTTGCCAAAAATCACGTAGATGATCTCGAGGGCCTCCTTTTTGGCAATCCGTCCCCGTATGCATGACACAGTAGAAGTATTCTCTCCTGTACAGGTAAACTTATCAGATGGCTCCCCAGAAAAGCCATGCACACCCGTACAAAGAACTACGATATGATATATAAACGTTCCAAGCAAATCCTACCTCAAATACCGAGGCAGAGAATGTGGATCTACGAAGACGCGTATAGGGTCACAATCAGAACCATGAGGGATAGAAAGAGGGGAAAGAGGGCAGCCACAGGCTCACCTGGGTGGCTCACAAAAGTAATCTGATCTGCTTGATTGCCGAAGGACACCAAAACGTCAGGAACTTCAGCTTTGGCGTGTAGCGCTGGGTTCCCCTTAGGGGCCATGGCGGCTGCGAGCCGCCTGCCTGCCCTCAGCATACTCGTTACCGGGTGGAGTAAACAGCTACGTGAAATGACCTTGTTTATATAATTACTACGGAAGACCATGTGAGAGAACACGCAAGTCGCTTTGGAGTGCAGGATTTGCAGGGCTGACTGGAGGCCTTTGCTGGTGCCATGTGCATGCAATGATTCCACACAGCATGAACAACACATCGGCAGAAAAAAGAAAGGTTTGCAAGCTTGAAAATAAGAATTATGCTATGCTCGATGTAATTCCATGCTAATTTTAGGTGGATTAGTGTTGTTTTATCAACCTCGGGTTCCTCTCCGCCGAACAAAAAAGCGAGCCCTTGTAAAGCGTATTGTAGAGGGACACCTCGAAAACTGCGCTCCTCTGAACTGTCTGAGTGTCTTCTTTCTCCATGGTTGCAAGCATAGCGCTTATGCTACAATTGAAGAATTGCTGCATCAACAGGTTTTGTAAACTAGCCAGTAATCGCTGTATACATAAGAGGTAGGTGCAGCCAGAGTTAGACCTTATGTAATCACGTGGCAGAAGCTCACCTGCATGTACCTCCCGCAATCCAGAGAAGCACCAGGATCGTCGCCTACGCCTTGCCTCTTGAAATGAGCGCTACATGTAGAACTTACTTGAGGGAGCTACCGGACAGCCTCCCATATATCAAACCCAGATAACGGTAGCCCTATTGCTTCTGCTGCAATTATTTGTTTTTCTCTTCTTCTCTTGAAAAAATGCCTATAGGCACTGGCCGGGATGATAGTGAGAACTACATGTGCGCCTAGGCATATGAAGCATGCGACTTTTACCGTAGTTAACACAAGCACCGAGTGAACTCGGGTCTATCCCAGGTGTGCATTGGAGAGCAGTGTTTGCGAGGCATGGCATGATGTAAGTTGTAAATGTGAGTATTTGTTATGGTTAGGGGCTTGGGTGCATTTGTTATGTGCAAAGTAGTTCTTTTATGCGGGGCTTCCGGTGCAACAATCTGTCCAAGGTGTCCATAGGGGGGCACTTAACCACAGGTTCAATACACACTTGAAAGCATGTTATCGCCCTCATAATAGCTATCTCCTCCTCCTGACTCTGCCTTCCACATTTCCCGATCTCAAGGGAGCAGCACAGCTGGGGTACGCTTAGCTTCCCGTTCTGCGCGAGCCGAGGCTTCACATTTAGTTGCACATAGCACCTAGCCCACATGCACACAACACTGTATCCTGTTTCAATGAGCCTAGGCTGCTCTGCAATATGCCAGATATACGGACATACTAACCAGGTATTCAATAGAAATAATTCCGAGCTAGATATACCAGGTGCATAAGAAAGTAGTTAAATGTGCCTTGCCCTGCTAGATCCGGTGCTTTTTTCGGTGCACACGGTACTGGGGAATCATATAGGCACACATCTGATTTTCTATTGAGGTATCCTTACCGCTTTCGCAAAAATAGGAGCATGCCACCTCTTATTTGTGGTCATTTTACTTTTTATTGGCCGCTTTCCTAGGACAAGGAGCATGAAGAACAATACAAACCTCTCCGACAAATTCAAACCGTCATAGGAAGGGAAGACCAGCCGATGTAGTAATGGGATAGTTAGACGTATCGCACTACATAAATTGAAATCTAATCGTCCAGCCTCAAAAGCTTATAGCCCTCTGCATCCTTCATCTAGAGTGTACAGCCAAACGAAGTGTTTGCTAAAATAGCTCCAACATGACGGGAATCAGCGCAGCCCCAATGTTGCTCAGGGTTTTACGATACTCGTGACGATATGCATCTATGGGGGGCGAGAGAGGGGGCAACTGCACAACTAATTTTTTCTCCAAGTCATTACCGTAGCTAGATACTTCATGCTTAGTGGTGTGCATGTGCTTCAATGTTCAAGATCAATAATGATATCCAGTTGCCAAAAAACCAGTGACATGTTGCGGCTTATGATGCCTTGTGAACCTTGTTCTCCAAGGTTACTTTTGCTTGTCCTTCTTTGTGTGAGAGGATTGCGCTGTGTAGCGAAGACAGAAAATCTGGTACAGTTATTGTCCTAGCCTGAAAGCCATTTTGCGCAGTCCATATTCATTTATAAAAACTTATATTGGACTCACTAAACAGGAAATGCAGCTGTACGCGAGGAAAGGAAGTTTTCTGATTGTCCTCCCCGATAACCCTTCGCTCTGTCTAACTATCTCCGTTAGCATCTCGTTCCCCCTATGTCTTCAGGATTGCTCGCAAATGCGCTTAACTGGTAGATGTAATGCCGCTCTCGCTTACTCGTTGATGCCGGAGCTTTCACGTTCCTTTTGTCATACGAGTGAATAAATGTATCACAATTAATTTGTAAGGCAGAGAGCTACACTAAAGTAGCTTCATACCATCGTATGGTCAAAACTTGATTCCTCGCAGGGTGCAAGAAGCCCAACCCGGATCTAAGTTATAACTTTCGCGACTTTTATTTGGGTGCGGAGGACTTAAGACTTACGAGTTCCTTCGTGCAGTCCAATAGTATTTTGCGTCTGCAGTGGGGACTTGGTGAGGGAATGTACAGCTTCAAGTCGGCTCTATCGATGAATGCGGCATCACAATTTCCTGCGTCAGAGTGAATAAAAGGCAGGGAATAAGAAACCGCAACTTAAACAGTGCGCAGAAATGTGGGATCCAACGAACCTGCTAGATTTGAAGTCGTCAGGACCAGAGCGTTGGGGAAACGGCTGAACATGTCTATCTGCGTGAGAAGTGCGTTGACAACGCGCACAGAATCCGAAGGCTCATTTGACGCTGCTGCAGCTCTAGAAGCTGAGAGGGATTCCACTTCGTCTATTAGAACAACCACCAAGCAGTCCTTATTTTGCAACATGCCTCTGATCTCACTAAAGACCTTCGCAACCATCTTTCCGGACTCACTAAACCAGCGGGAGAACAGCGCTGGAGAATTGATAGAAAGAAATAAGGAAGAAGAAAACCGCTGGCTGAGACGGATAGAAAGCTTTTGGGCCAATGCTCTGCACAAAGACGTCTTTCCTGCAACAAATTTTTCCAGCATTGAAACACTTATCTATGAAGGATTGCTACGCGTGTCTGTGTTTCAATAATTTTACCGCTCCCTGGAGGCCCGTGAAGCAAGAGTACACGATTCCATGTAATGAGCTTAACAGTGGCATGGCACATAAAATTCAACAGGGTGATATTTCCATGTGCAGTGCTTGCCTTTGGATCCACATTTTTGTCTGCAAAGAGCAAAGCTGCGGAGGTGTATTCCAAGAGAATTTCTTTTATGGCTTCGTCGAAATGCAAATTTTCCCAAAGGCTTTCAAATTCTATGTTAGGAAGGACCCATTTATTGAATGCATAAGCCCTTCCCTCGTCGCCCGCCTCAGGCATGCCCGCTTCCTCTGCCCCCACGTGTAAGACGTATGGGAGAACTGTCATGTGCACTTGGCAGTACGGAAGTACCACCGGGTTGCTTTCAAGAGAGGTTTTACACTTCCCCATAAATGCAGTGTAGCTCCGTTTGTGGCGTGTGTCCCCCGGTAGCTGCACCTGCATCATGCTGCTTCTGTGCAGGGCTTGCTCAATACGGATGGATGAACAGGCCCTCTCCAGGAGTGGAATTTCTAACAGCTGCGGATCATGGCGGCCCAGTGCCACTGTCAGGCCTGAAGAAGCAAGCCATGCTGTTACAGCTTCATGTATGACTTGCAGTTCAGCTTGAGCAGCAGTATTTAGCTGTACTTCGCAGCATAGCTCAATTTTGCGCTGTTCTGAGCCCAGCTGTACAGTACCATTAGGCAATGTTGCCTGGCTGCGTTCTGCAGCTGAAGCAGCAACTTCCATAACAAAGGTAGTACTTGAAAATACTGTTAAGTAGTATGATTATCAACCTGAAAGTAGGACCATTCCTCGATTTTTGTTTGAGTGGATGTATTCTTCATGCTGCCGAACATATTATTTGCCTTTGGTTTACTTTAAATATGCTGTAGCTACAGCATGTGTAATAGTTTGATGAGACCCTGTAAACTTTTGCCAAGAGAAGAGCACAGTGGCTTTGTACAAACGTTTTTGACTCAAAGTTTTTTAGCATGTTGCTAGTGTACATGTGAATAATGGGTGACAAAAACACCGATTTGTTATTAGTCAATACGGGGTACGACAAAATACTTCACAATACGTTTACCTACATCTTTGCCCACTTGATCACGTATAATGCTTGAATTTCAGGATAAACAGAGGTTTATAACGACGGTTCAATGATTGGATGCTCAGCAGGCACTCTGTCCTACAAGGTGTGGAAAGCAATAAGAAACCTCACCCAGAATCAATGAGTCGCCATACTAAGTGTGCCAAATGGCTTCAAGCTCTGAGGACTAATGCACTCTGGAAGGTGCACCCGGCTGCTGGGAGTATTATCTTTGTTTGATATGCCCACAGCAGTCATTTCCGCAAACGTCTGTCACAGGTACTAGGAGTTGGCCGAAGAAAAGGCTACAGACCAGCTGCTTGTGTATTATAATGTAGAACTCAAAAATAGGCTGGCACACGAGCAATCACTATTTTTAAAAATGCCGTGAACCTTCGGGGTTGCCACCTCACATCACATTTCACTATACTGCCTTCACAGCTACAATTCACATAAAGTTCCCAAGTTTAGTCGAGATCACGTTTTAAAGGACAAACTTCGCAAACGAGTCGTTCATGTTTCCCGCAGCTACCTGGAGTCATGAATCGCCTCGCTGTCTACACCAGTGAAACTCGCAGACCATTCCAAAACTGTACAGTTCTGCTGTTGGCGACTCCTGGCGATGCATAATTTGTTGATTACTGCTTCCTCAATAGTTACTTGAATTGAGCTCTTCCATAGATAACGCACCGTGTTCCTTTTCGCTAAAAGTGCCTGGTTCTTATGTACAGCTCTTCTACTCCGTTAATGACTTCCTGGAAACTGTTGGGACATGAAGACACTTGCCCTTGCCGGATACACGTAGATTGATGAGTAGCATTGCATGCTGGTTGTCGAATGTAATGTACAAGTAATACTTTACAGCTGATTATGTGAACCCTACTCGGGTAGTCTTAAAAAAGCACCATTCAAATACGATTATATTACTCCTGATTCACAGCAGTCAAATGCAAACTGGTTAGCTCCACTGCAAGGTCCCCGCATTGAGTACTTATGTATGATTTTATGTTTCTCATTCATAAATCATGACTAAGTATACTTAGCCAGATGCGGCGCATCCTTCACAATCGCAATCGACATGTGCTTCATCCAGCATGGAGACAAAGGGCGCGGGCCTTCCTCAGCATACCTCGATGTCTCATCTATCTTACCGAAATCCTGTAACAGCTCGGCTGGCACACCTTAGGCACCACCTTATTAAAGCTTTAGATAGCTAACGCTAGCAAGCAATCGAAAAGAAGTGTGGTGTAACGTTTCTTTAAATTTTACCATAGATATTCGCATAACTCCAGATTCAGGACAGCCTTGGCAGAAAGCTATCAAAAGTTTTTCCACAAGGGCTCCCACCTTTAGGTCATCGCGACCCACAGAGCTCCCCGCATAAAAACACAAGTTTTGCTAAAGTGAGCGTACCTGCACCCTTTAAAGATTCCGAGCTTTCATATATAACTGCACATTGCATCTAGCGCTCACGCATACAACGTTGCGCCCTCTTGTATCGAGGTAGACTAATCTTTGATAATAACATAAACGACCACACAAACCAATTTGTCCACTTTAGACTCAATTGAAGTTGAATATATGCAGTGTAGTCCAGAATGTTACAGTGGAGCAGAGCATGCTACTTCCCTCTGCTTATCCTACCCCTACCACATCTTCAGGTACACGCCCTCGTATTCCGTGCCTATAGGTCAAGAATAACTATCTAATGGACAACAAACAAGGTCCTGCCCTACCAACAATCTCTAAGTAGGCAGGAAGGTCAAAATAGCGAGACAGAGAAAACAACGTGCACATTTATTGCTGGAGTGAAATGGAGGAGAAGAACCACGCACACGATAGTCAACAAAGAGCGAGGGATCGAATCTATGCGACCTCGGCATGCAATAGGTAGTTCGGCAATGCCTCCGCTCACAGAGCAGTTTTCGCCTCCAAATGCAGCGGACGAATGCAGCGTACTCTCTTTTAAGGCCCCAAAAGAGGTTTAAGGGAGCACGACACATCTGAGAGTACCTGTGCATAGAGCTCAATGTAGAGAGCATCTGAACTTTGATAACCGACAAAAGTTCAAGTGATATTCATGGAGAGAGGCAGCTATTTGAGGCAGAGCGTGCGCTAAGGAGGAAATTGATGGAGGAGCTGGAGGAACACGATTCATGGAAACTAGTTTTGTGCGTCAAGCACAGTTGCAAATTCTCAGGGGAGCAACGAGCCTACAATTACTTGTCCAGCAGCCATCTAGGCTGTCGCCCGCCACCTCATCTCACCAGAGGATCCCGTATTGGCGCTCAAGCGTCCTAGGATACAGCACGTTTCGGCTCATTGTGGATGTTCCGACTCTACATTGTTTATTTGGCTTTGGCGCCAAGCTCGCCACCAGCTGGGAAAGTTATGAAGCTTCTCTAGCAAGGCTAGATTAAGAGCTCCATGGCGTGTCCAACGTAAGGAATATTGATATATTGTAAAAGACTTTACTCATAAGAAAATGGCAAATGGTCTCAGTGATCAGGCAACGACCTTTTCGACTATTCCTTGGGTGCAACTCCCTAGAGCCTAACGACACATCTGGACTCATTCTCCACCCTCAAATCGCACACGCTACCGCCACAAACTGCCTATCACAATCGCGTGGTTGCCTCACTCGAGCTTTGCAATACGTTCGCATGCACGGTTCATGAGTTTTCTGAATTTCTCGTTCGCTAAGGGTGGCTGCTGATTCCGGAC